TGGGTCAAAAGGCAGCTCCACTTTTAATTTTTTGAGGAAACTCCACACTGCTTACCACAGTGGCTGCCCCAGTCTGCATTCCCACCAGCAGTGTACTAGGGCTCCCCTTTCTCCACACCCTCGCCAGCACATGTCGTTTGTTGCTTTGTTGATGGAGCCATTCTGACAGGTGTGAGGTGATACCTCATTAACTTGCATCTCTCTGATGATTAGTGACCTTGAGCATTTTTTCATATCCCTTAGCCATCTGTATGTCCTCTTTGGAGAAGTGTCTATTCAGGTCCTTTGCCCATTTCTTAATTGGGTTGTTTGTCTTCCTCTTGCTGAGTNTTTTTAATTGGATTGTTTGTCTTCCTTTTGTTAAGTTGTATGAGTTCCTTATATATTTTGGATATTAACCTTTTATCAGATGTGTCGTTGGCAAATATGTTCTCCCATACAGTGGGCTCCCTTTTCATTTTGTTGATGGTTTCTTTTGCTGTGCAGAAGCTTTGTATTTTGATGCAGTCCCATTTGTTTATTTTCTCTTTTGTTTTTCTTGCCCTAGGAGATGTATCAGCAAATATATTGCTACAAGAGATGTCTGAGATTTTGCTGCCTATGTTTTCCTCTAGGATTTTTATGCTTTCACGTCTTACATTTAAGTCTTTTATCCATTTTGAATTTACTTCTGTGCATGGTGTAAATTGGTGGTCTAGTTTCATTTTTTTGCATGTACCTGCCCAATTTTCCCAACACCATTTATTGAAGAGACTGTCTTTACTCCATTGTATGTTCTTGCCTCCTTTGTCAAATATTAACTGACCATAATGGCTTGCGTCGATTTCTGGGTTCTCTGTTCTGTTCCACTATCTATATGTCTGTTCTTGTGCCAATATCAGGCTGTTTTGATTACGGTGGCTTTGTAGTATAACTTGATATCTGGTATTGTGATCCCTCCAACTTTGTTCTTTCTCAAGATTGCTGTGGCTATTTGGGGTAAAAAATTCCTGCTTTTAGATTGTAAATTCTTAGAACTACTTATTCCTTTATAGATTCAACTGTGCAGATAGTAAGAGCTGTATATTAAAAACAATCAATACAATATAGCATCTATAACATTATAATACATAACAATATTTAAAAATCTAGTTATTTTTTATAATAGCTTATTAAAACTGATCGTATGAATTCCTTGAATGAGATTTTGGAATTCTACATAAATTGCATGGATTCATAGGATTTTGCATGCAACCCCTTACAGATCACATGGAGATTTCTGATAATACACAGAAATATAGACAATATAAATAAAACAATTCATTTTACACCCTTAGCACAGAGCTTACTGCAATAAAATGAAAGTCTCTAAAGCAACTGAAGAGCAGATAAGTTATTATCAGGTCAAAACCAGGATGGCTTGCCCAGCCACTGTGGCTCAGTTGGTTGAGCACGGTCCCAGGCACCAGGAGGTTGCTGGTTCATTTTCCAGTCAGGGTACATGCCAGGGTTGTGGGCTCAATCCCTAGTAGGGGGCATGCAGGAGACAGCCAATCAATGTTTCTCTCTCTCCCTCCCTTCTTCTCTCTGAAATCAATAAAAACATATTCTGTCCAGCTGGCATGACTCAGCAGTTGAGCGTCAACCTATGACTCAGCAGTTGAGCGTCAACCTATGATCCAGGAGATCATGGTTCAGTTCCAGGTCAGGGCACATGCCTGGGTTGCGGGATTGATCCCCAGTGAGGGAGTGCAGGAGGCAGCTGATCAATGACGACTCTCTCATCATTGATATTTCTCTCTCTCTCTGTCTCTCTCTCTTTCTTTCTCTCTCTCTCTCTCCCTTCCTCTCTCTCTGAAATCAATAAAGACATATTTAAAAATAAAATAAATAAAAACATATTTTTAAAAAACAAACAAAAAAAACCCCAACAGGATGCCTTGAGGGCATCCACCAACTTTGACACATGGCCAGAAGGGGGCGCATGAGACAGTCCACCAAGCTAAGGTGCACTGTTCTCAGATAACTCTGGGCAAGAGTGATTCAGAGGTAAATCAATTTTCCCTCCTTTATACTTCCCAGCCTCCTTAACTTCAACCCCTCCTCCTGAGGACTGCAAGGAAAGTTGCTTTTGCAAGAGAAATTTTAACCACAAATTGACTCTTGGACAGGTTTACAGCCCAAACCCACCAATTACCTAAGTGGTGGGGGTAAAAACGAAGCCAGAAAATAAAAAAACACACCTCATGGTATGATTTGGTAAAGTTTTTTCAGACTGGTAGCACCTCTCGGAGTCTGGCATAAGCAAAAGAAAATCTCTTTTGGAATCTACCTTCTAGATAGGCCTCAAAGAATTCCCTAAATGATTTCTTGTTGTTACTGCTACACAGCAGCAAGCACTGAGAAAGGGCTAAAAGACTCAGACTGCGTGCTATGCCAGGGTACAGCAGTGTCAACCTGAGCAAGGCAGTGACATTTGCAGGTCTGGTCCGAAGCAAGGTTGGGAGAAGCATGCCAGGGAAACGCTGAGAGTGTAAACCAGGCAGGATGGGCGAGCCCCGACTAGGGTAGTGAGTGAGGACACACTAAGGAGAAAAGAGGGCAGTAAGCGCAGAGCTGGAGCCAGGGGAGGCGAGCCAGTAACTGCACGCTCTGACATGCTGTACGCCCGCCACAGGCGGATGGGTAACAAATCCGACTGACTTCTGATGGCAAAAACAAGGAAACAAGCCACTTTTGTTACAGTGCTCATCAGGTTAAAAAAAAAAATCAATGACAATAATGATCATTATAATAATAATCATTACATTGATAATAATGATCAGAATGACAACTATTTCTCCTCCTCTTACCACCACCTCCATCATTAGCAAACACTGTGCTCACCTTTTATATGCATTGTTCTTTACCCTTAACAACAACCCTATTAGGCCAATGCATTATGCCTATTTTACAGATATGGAAGTTGAGTATCAGAATGTTAAGTCACATAGCTATTAAGTCAGGGAGCCAGGATTTGAACCCAGGACCCACAGGCACGCACTACTGTCCCGGGTATTACGAGCATATACACAGAACGCGCACAGGTTCTCCAAAAGCACGTGCTGCAAGCAGGGCTACTCCAGCTGTGGTCTGCAGACCAATGCCATCAGTCAACTGTCATGAGAGGAGTACAGAAATTAATAAGCATTAAGACACTATTATAGAAATGTAACCAAGTGGCATCCCACCCATGAAAATTTTTCCAGTAACCAACTGTATTATATTTTTACAAGGGATAGGGGTGGGGAACTCTTGCCCTTCACCCAGATAGTTTGAGAAGCACTGCTGCAGAGTGTAGTAAAGGCAAAAAAACACAAAAATCATTTCACCACATGCAGCCCTCTGATGATACGACGTCTCGGGGTGAGTTGGGGGTACACTCTGTCAAGTGCACTGGAATGCAGACAACTGCTTTAAGTCCTCTCACTGGTGGCAGCACTCACTACAGGGTCTGCTCAGGATGTGTGATGAGCAGTTGACATCTTCACTTTGGCTCAGAAAGGCCAATGGCAAAATCTATGCCCTGTTCCAAGAAATTCTCTCTGGGTGTAGACCGTGTCTCCTCCCTACTCTCCTCTCACTCATATCTCCACTGTAACATGTATCCCAGAGGTTTTACTGATCTCTTCCTGGGTCCATCTCCCTCAACCAGCTGTGAACCCCTTGAGTGCAGAGATCTTGCCTCATTCAATTTTATATCCCCAGCATAGAACAGGAGCCTTGTAGATGGTTCAGTCCATGCTGGTTGAATTAGCTGATTGACTCATGGCTTCTCCCTTAGGTCTTCCTCTCTCAGGACATTGCAAATGTGAAAATTATTGGGTAATTTTAGCTTTGCAACCAAGTGACCTCAGTTGAGCCTGCCAATGTTCACTGCTAAAAGATTTAAGGGCAATACTGCATGCAACTGACGCAAGACCTAGTAGTAAGTAAAAGAGAATGGTATTTATCTCATTTCACAATAGACTTATGAAAATAAGACCACCAATCACGCTCCCCACAGGAAGCCTGCCAGGCAGTATTGGAAACTTGAGCTGCTCTGCTGGGCGCTGAAGGGATCAAGGGATGCGCTTCCTTTCCCCCACTGCCTCCTCTCCAGATCCGCACGGAGTCAGCAGGTTGGAGAGCACATGCCACATGCCATTTTTCTACCATATGTGGAGATCTAAGGAAGATGATTTAAAGTATCTATTTTTACAACTTGCAGAAGTTACTATTAAACGGGCCTTTAATAGCTGTCTGTGATTTTACTTCCTAATTTGTATATGCTCCCCCCTCCCCTACCTCTTTCAATGCGAACGGATTTGCCAGCATGTTTTTGTTCCTTACGAAAAAAGATCCTCTTAGTCTGGGCTCCAATCTGCACTGGCAGTCCAGGTGAACACTGCTCTCGTCGAAGCCGCTTTAGCTCTACTTGGCCGAGTCCCTCTATTCTGACCATCTAACTTCCTTTTCCCTGACACAGATTCTTCCTTTCCTGGCATGCAATGTAGGAGGACAGAGATCTAAATAAGACCCTTGGTCATCCTTTGCTTATTCTTTTTTTATACTTTTTGGGGGCTCATAATTTTACTATAATCTTTTAGATCTTTACAATTCTGAGTTTTCAGAGTCTCCTCTGTGGCCAGCAGCTCACTCCTCTGCCAGGTCTTCTTAATATCAATTTATGTCATTAACATTCCCGTATCTAAAACTCAATTCTATTTCCACCATACTGCCTCCCACGTTGGACTGGGGTTACTCCCAAACCAGATGTGATTTTGACTACACACACACACACACACACACACACACACACACACACACACACACACACACACACTTTGAGTTAAAATTCAAGCTCAAGTTGGGGAACTGCTCAGGTCAGAAATGACCATGCATACCCAAGGAGCAAGAGCTATGGACCACCTTCATCCAATGTCTAATACATGTGAGAATCCCTTAGAAGAGTAAGGTGTGATGCGTTTTGAGGTACTACTACTTATAAATCTGAATGAAGTTTTAATGGAAACTGGCTGAATTTGAGGAGATTTTCTAAGAATGAAAATCTGCCAATAACTTAAAATTATAATAATTAACCCTACATTTCAGAACTTCTAAAATACTGAGAGTTTTACATGGCAGGCATTACTATCTTCATATTATACATGGGAAAACAAGTAGAAACGTAAAGACTTCTCAAATTCACACATAGTAAGCTTAAGATAAACCTTTCAGTTGAACCAAGTTTCCTGACATCCAAATCAGCATTCCCTCCACATACAGAATATGAACCAGCATCACATCAATGCCCCTAAAGCTGAAAGACACCTTTGTATAGCATCTCAATAGCCAATGACAACAAGCAAAACCAATCAAAAACCTCGACGACAGGGAGGATGTCACACAGCCAGGTGGCAGGCCATCGTCAAACTCACCCTTTAAAGACTTCAAGTGCTGAACGGCCATTCTTAAAACGGTCAGTTTGTCCAGCTTCCGGGCCATGGGCTTGCACTGGGGGATCATTGCAGACAGCTCTTCAATCAGGTTATTCATTTTATCTCTCCTCCGCTTTTCGGTTTGGCTGTGAGCTTCTCTAAGAAGGAAAAAGAAGCTCCTTTACCATTTCACTCTCAGCAGCCCGCCGTGACCGAGGCACTGCCGGAGCGGCGCGGAGGGAGGCCCGCACTGCCTTCCCACCCGCGGCCTGCAGGTGCTGCCAGGGGCCAGGGGCCAGGGGCCAGGGACCGGGAAGGAGCTGCTGGGGACAGGCAGAGCGCTTGTAAAGCTCAGGGTGCTTTCACCGCACCCACCGCCCTTGGTCCCTCCTTACCCTCCCTTATTTCCTGAAACCCTCAAGAACCTGAGCAGGTGAATGGAGAGACTAAACATGATATAAAACAAACAGTGGAATGTCATTCAACCATTAAAAAGAATGAAGTTCTGATACATGCTACAACAGATGAAACGTGAAAACATTAGGCTAAGTGAAATAAGCCAGTCACAAAAGGACAAATACTGTATAATTCCACTTACATGAAATGTCTCGAATAGGCAAATTCAGAGAACTAGAAAGTAGGCCAGAGGTTACCAGGGGCTGGGGGGAGGGGGTATGGAGAATTATTACACCGAGTTTCAGACTGAGATGATGACGGTTACGCAACATTAAGTATGACTAATGCCACTGAATTGTACACTTAAATGGTTAAAAAGGCAAATTGTATGTCATATATTTTACTACAATAAAAAAGTTTTTAAAGTATGAAGGCAAGCAATTTTAAGAAATGTAATCGGAAGAAAAGTTCTTATGCTTAAAATCCTTCCAGCTTTCTTACTGCAGTCAAGATAATTTCCAGATTCTTCTGTTCAGCAGAGCTTCAGGACCTAGTCCATGCTTATCCCTCACATCACATAGCTCACCCTTCTCCATGTGCGCCCTCCACTACTCTACTTGTTTCTCTATCAGCAGTGTGCTTTTCTACCTTGTGCTTCTATGCAGCTATTCCTTCTACCTAAAACATCTTCTCTACTCCTGCTCTGAATCGCACATTTCCATTATTCATTTAAAATGCAGCTTGCCTCAACATTTCCAGGAAGCTGTCCTTCATTCCTGATCCCAGTATTATTTAAATCCCCAACTTTCTTTGTTGCCATAATACCCAGGATCTCTATGGTGTGTAATAACTATTTGTATCTTTCCCATTTGTACAAGTTTCTTGTGTCTTATCTGTATCTTTCCCTCCTAGCCTACTAGGTGTCACACAGTAGGTACTCAATAAATGTTTAATGAATACATTCTATGGAATCTTCATCAATAACCTTTAAAAGAACTGGCTCTCCATTCAAAACCAACAGTGAAGAAAGGGTGAACATTCTTATACATTCTTCTTTGTTTATAATTATCCAATGCTCTGAGGCTCCATCAATAAAATCAACTTCATATCGACTGACTGGTTTTCATGCCTGAGTCTCTAGGAAAGATGCTACAGAATTAGTACTTTGTAAAATCCATAAAGTACTTTGACATCCATCATTTCATTGCAATGGAAAATGGATGAAAGAAGGATTGGGGCAGAAAGAAGACAAACTGGGAGAGACAAGGAGCAATTGGGCAAGGGGTTTCTTCCCCCTGCCCTCTTCAGGGAGGAATTATGTTAAATGATAGCACAGGACTTGTCGCTGCCTCTGGATGTTGCTGCTTCTATCCTTGTTGAAAGGAGGTAGTAAAAGGGATTCTGAGAAAGCTCTTCCACCACTTTTTCTGTCATAATTCCTGATCTGGAAGGAAAGATGCCTTCACTACCCAGATCTTCTGGGAAACGGTCAGCATGACTGTCTTCAAGTGCCAGAAGCACCCTACCCTGTCCAGATAGAGTAGAATGAAGGCGGTGCCACACCAACAACCTGGCAGGCCACCATGTAGAATGCTGGGCAAGCCACTTGACATTTCTGAGTCCTAGTTTCTTCACTTTCTAAAATCTGGGCAATGGCTAAATAATCTTGAGTGTTGTTTTCTGCCAGAAAACATCATTATCTGTCAGTACGTTGCATGGTTCTAAACTAATATTTGTCCTACCACTGACCCCGTTTATTCCCCAAACCACTGTAGCGCCCCGACCATGCTGCCTACGTGACATGCTCTCACTTCAACAGCCACAATCTTATTTAGATGCTAAGAAAGTGCTCATGCTTCTAAAGAAAAATGAATAAAAAGGGCTACAGTCACTTCTAGCTCAGGGTAAGCAGGCACTACCAGTGATTTAAAACGTAAAACATCAAACTGTACTAGATAGACTGCCACTTGGTCATTTGCAGATACTTATGGTCGTTCACACTCGTGAAGAAGACTATAGACAAGCGAAAACAGTAGATAATCTTCAAGTCATTGATATGTGGCTTGGGAAGTGCATTGGTTCTTACATTTGAATAACTGATTCTGCTGTCTTTCAAACTGAAGCTAAATTATAAAGTATATCGGGAAGAACCAAGATAAAAAGAGCTAGGATGTTTCATTATGTCTTCATCTTGTCCCTACTCAGAATGGAGAACTATCATCAGGTTTCACCTTTATTTAAAGTCCCAGCCTAAAATGAATTGCTCTAGATTGTTATACTTATTCTGTCCTATTATTTTCACCATATAAACCCAGCTTGGAGAGGTCATTAAAGGATAGTTGGGGCTGCAAGTTGCATTAGGCAACAACAAGGAGACAGTAAGTATTCTCAATGCTGATTTTATTATCTATTTGGCTTAATAAATATGGAAAGTTAAGAGTTTTATATGATTAAACTGGCCACAGGTAACCAAGGGTTAGTTATTATATCAATGATGAGTAAGGTGAGAAGCAAACTGGTCATTGTTATTTTTAAGTCAAACATGCGGGGAGACGTTCTCATGGTTTAGTATTTCAATGAGGAAGACAAATCTCCCGCTGCGACCATAAACATAAAGCAAATTAACCTTAGGTTGCTATGTCTTTCAGATTCGTTGACCCTCCTGGATGCCTATCAACCTTCAGAGTTGGACAGAAAAGTACCAGGTCAGTCTAGACAGAGGTGGCAGCTGGATGGATAAATAATTGCCCTTATCCAAGTGTTACCATGTAATTAAACATAATCATTTAAAAGGTAATCTTTTTCCTTTTTTGCCTAGAGTCAAAGATTTAATGGGCCAAAAGGAACAAATTCACTTACTGGGATGGATCTGAATCACTTCCTTTTCGTTTTCTTGGAAACTCTGCCATGTGTGGATTGAAGGATCCAATAGCTGTTGGTTTCGTCCATGAGCTCATATGATTGGAAACCATGGGAGCAATGAACTGGTTGTCTTCTATCAACACTTCACCTGTGAGAGATAAAAAGATCAAGCACAGTAAGATATCTAATTTTAAACTAACTTTTACTTTATATATATATATATCCATATCACACGTCTGAAATGGTTTTTCTATCTTAAAAATATCAACTAAATAACAAATAACTTAGAAAGAATAACTATGTACATTCAAATATTAGAAATGTATTTGTTAGTCCATATTTTAAAGTGTTTTTTTTCAATCTAATTGTTAAAAAAGTGAATACTGTGGAAAACACACAAAAAAAGTAGAAAGGAAGGGGGATACCAATTTTCACAAACCAATGGTTACTATTTAGAGATATTTCCTTTCAGAATTTCCAAATAGTTATCATTAGTTGAAATCATCATATATATTTTGCTTTTATTTACCAATCACTGTGATAATTTTACAGTATTATGACAAATTCTTTACAAATTCTTCTAATGGCTGCATAATATACCATCATGTAGATGTGCACAGCTTCTTAATGAGTCTTCTGTTGATAGGATTTATGTTTTTATTTTTTCACCATCACAAACATGTACTGTGGTACAAAAAGCTTCTTATCTTCTGATCATTTCTTTTGAAGCATCCCAGAAATGACTTAACAACGTCAAGGAACAAGAACATGTTAAACTCTGAATTAATAAATATGACAGTAAAATCCTTTTTGTCTTAAGTGTGGTTTCTTACATGTTTTATGAAATATAAAAATCAGAATCACTAAACTAAACATAATCTATAGCCCAAATGTGAGCCTCCTTCTCATACTAAAATGCATGTAGAAAGTTTAAACTCATTTGTACCTTGTAATATAGATTGAAAATATATAAGCAATATTTATAAGGAGAGTGTAATCCATCTACAATAGCAGGAGAGTTTTAACATACCTCTATCAGTAACTGAGAGCTTGAGCATTCAGAAATAATGAGATAGAAGATCTAATCCACACAATGCACAAGCTTGATATAATAAACATATAGAGACCATTATGCCTGGCAACTTCAAAATCCAGCGTTGTTTTAGAGTCCCATGAAGCATTTATAAAAATCGACAATATATTGCACCAAAAACAAAGTAAATCTCAACAATTTCAAAAGACTTATATACATATTTTAAAACATTTTCTGACTATAGTGTAATTATTAGATAGCAGTAATAAAAAGATAACTAGAAAAAACCCTGTACCTTAGGAAATAAAGAAATACACAAATAACTCATGGTACAAGAAAGAATTCAATGCAAAATTATAAAATATTTGGAACTAAATAATAAAAATATCACACATAAAAATGTTTAGACACAGTGAAAGCACTATTTAGAGGAAATGTTTAAAAAAAAAAAAGGTTGAAATTTAATGAGCTAATAATTTAAGAAATAAGAAACAGATGAGTAAAACAAATTCAAATAATTAGAAGAAAGGAAATCATTAGAATACTATAATAATAAATAGAATACAAGTGAGTATAGGTCAAAAAAAGCTCAACATATGGCAAGGTTTTTCACGAGAAAAAGCAAGAGGGCATAAACGAATAAAGATAGGAATAAACATGAGTCACAATTTTAGATGCTTTAGACATTTAAAAGATAATAAAATTTCATGAACAATATTATTCTAAAGATTTGAAAATAATGAAAAAATTCCCAGAGAATTTTAACTAACAAAACAGAAGCAAAAATAAACGGCTCAGTTGGTTAGAGCCTCTTCTTAATAAGCTAAGGTTGTGAGTTTGATCTCCAGTCAGGGCACATATAAGCAGCAACCAATGAATGCACAAATAATGGGCAAATCGAGGTTTCTTCCTCTCCTCTCACTAAAAATCAATTTTAAAAATAAAAATAAAAAGCTGAATATTCCTACATTCTTTCTTGCACAAACTATTCCAATGTATAGAAAAAGTATAGAATGCCTTGGCCCCCAACTCTTTTTTATATAATTTTGATATTAAAACCTGACAATGGCAGTTCAATAAATGAAAACTATGGACCTATCTCACTCATGAATATTGATACGAAAATCTTAACAAAATATCAGCAAACAAAATTCATACATGTATAAAAAGAATAGCCCATCATGACCAAGATAATTTTATCCCAGAAATGCAAGTCTGGCTTAATATTAGTAAATCAATGGATATAATTTACCACAATAACAAATTAATGGGAAAATATGATTATATCAACACAGAGATATTCTTGAAGAATTTTGAAAGCATTCTCTTTGCAATCAGAAATAAGAACACCTTTTACCATTACCGCCTTTCAGTACTACTTTAGAACACCCGCCAGTGGAATAAGGGAAGAAAAAATATAAAAATTGGAAAGGAAGAAAATAATTTATTTTGCTATTATTGGGAAATGACATTATTGAGTATGTAGAAAACCCAAATAACCAAGAGGTAAATTATTAAAATCAGAGAGTAGAACAAGTTGGCTGTATGTAAAATCAACTGCTTTCTGTTCACCAGTAACAAGAAATAGCAAAATGACATTTAAAAAAGATACAATTTATAATAACCTCAAAAAATACAGAGTACCTAAAGAATAAATCTTTAATAAAAAGATATATATAAAAAGGTATATAATCTATAAGATCTTTATGGAGAAAGTTATAAAAATATTATTTAAAATATTTTAAAAGATCCCAATCAATGCATCCAAATCCATGTTTATGGATTGGAGGCCTCAATATCATAAAGATGTCAATTTTCCTAAAATAGATGTGCAATTCCTGTCAAAGTGAGCATTTTTTTTCCTGGTGGAACTCCACAAGCTGAATATAAATGCATATGGAAGTACAATGGGTCATGACAAGGCAAGGAAAACATTGGAGGACTTTCCTTATTAGATATCAAGACATTATAAGACAGTATGGTATTGGCAATATCCAATGGGGAATGGACAGACCAAAGGTAAAGAAATATAGATCCTAGACATATGTATATGGAAATCTGCTAAATGTCAGAGGTGAAATTCCAGATCAATGTGAAGAAACCAGCTTTTTAATAACTGGTCCTTGTCCCACTGGTTTTCTCTATGGAAAAGAATAAAACTGACCCCCCTACCTTATACCAAATATAAAAACCAATTCCAGTTGAATGGAAGCCCTAAATGTGAAGGGCAAAAATATAATAGAAAAGACTCTAAAGGAGTGAGAATATGTCTGTTATTGGTGTAGAGAGAATTTCCCAAAACATAAAAAGTTAAAGCAATAGAGGAAAAGATTGATCGATTCGACCTCCTTAAAATTAAGTTAATGTTGATCAAAAGGCACTGTAAAGAGAATGAAACTAGTAGTCAGATATTTGTTACATGTGTAAACAACAAAAGGCTAATATCTAGACCATACAAACAATGCCTTTGCACTAAAAAGGCCAGCAACCCAATAGAAACCTCAAAAAAAGTTTTTAATGTGCACTTCAAAAAAGAAATTACAACTCTCAACACACAAATGAAAATATACCCAATCTCATTACTAATTCAGGAAAATCCAAAGTAAACTATAGTGATACTCCTACATACCCATCCAATAGCTACAATTCAAGACTGATGATACCAAATGTGAGGGTGTGGAGGAATGGAACGCTCATGCTTTGTGGGTGGGAATGTAAGTCGCTACAACCACTTTGGAAACCATTTTGCATTACCTAAGAAAGCTGAACACATGCAAACAACATTTTTCAGAATTCCATTGCTAGGTACATGGAGAAACTCTTACTGCATCTTAGAAGACATTTACAAGAAATGCATTAACAGGACTGCTTATCATTGAACAACAAAAATTAGAACCTGAAAAAACTGGAAATTAATTTCCAGCAACAGATGGATAAATTGTTATCCGCTGAATAGAAGACTAACAGCAATAAAAATGAATGAAGTACTGATATTAACATGAATGAATCTCAAAATAATGGTGGGCAGTAAAGTCACAGCCAAAAGCACAGCATGTTATAAAATTGTTTTTAAGTTAAATTGGTAAAACTGATCAATGTTTTTTTAGCAATATCTACATAGATTTCCACACTATACAGAAAAGCAAGGGAACAGTTAACGCAAAAGTCAGAATTCTCACCCAGCCAGCGTGGCTCAGTGGTTGAGTGTCGACCTATGAACCAGGAGGTGGCGGTTTGATTCCCGGTCAGTGCACATGCCCAGGTTGAGGGCCCAGGTTGCCAGGTGTGCAGGAGGCAGCCGATCAATGTCTCTCTCATCATTGATGTTTCTCTCTCTCCCTTCCTCTTTCTGAAATCAATAAAAACATACTTTAAAAAAACCCTCAGAGGGATAAAGAAAACCATGAGGGATACACAGGGATAAATAATGAGTTCATGCTCTACTTCTTAGCCTGGCTGCAAGTTCACAGATAACTGTTTTGTTTTTATTCTTTAAACAGCACACAAAATTTTTACAGTCTTCTGTAGGGATAATAGGTCGCACAATAAAGCAGTAAGAATAATTTTACCAATGACTGGTGGCTACTTGGGAATTAACTTTCTATTAATGATATCCAAAGACTTCTAAATGGGACCTATCTGGAATCACCAAATACCGCATGAGATTCATTCTGGTCCCAACTCCTAGACTCCATTCTATCTAATAGATTTTGAATGGCAGAACACCATCTGTCTCCACAGAAAAATGGGAATTTCTTATTGATAGCAATTCAATAGGAAAAATTCACTAGCATTGAACCATAGCACACTCTGGCATATAAAATACCAGACCCCTCCAACCCCTCCAGCACACATTCATGCAAGGACACTCTTTCCCCGACAGAAGTTCAAAACAGAAATAAAATGAAGATTTTCTTTTCTGCCTCTCATTTTAGGGGGCATGATCTCCACATGTTTCAATCCTATTTCCTTATTAACCTTTAAAATGTAAAATGGACTATCTGCAGGCAGGCAGAATAATATTTTCACAAAATCAAAATCTGAGGCTCTAAAGGTCTTTATGTTCACTAACCAGTGAAGTATTGCCCCATAATTAGCTATGTTCCCTCAA